GTCGGCCGCGGCAACTCCACCCGCCTTTTCCATGAATGCAAAGCAACCCAAAATTGCATTCGGCACGCTGTGTCCACAGGGTTCCAGGCGGCGTTCATGCAAATAATCCAGAAGTATGCCGACATCCCGTGGCCAGACCTCACCTGTTGTAGCCAGACAAAACGAGCGGAATTTCTTCCACTCGCGGACTCGCTTCCGGATGGTTGAAGCACGCGCAGAACCCAAGCCCAAGGAAAGAGCAAGCTCGGGATTACGAGCCGAACAGGAATGATCCACCACAGGCAACTTCGCTTCGGAAACCAGGGATACCAGCTCCTGCCTCCACCGCTCTAGCTCCTGACGCTCGATCTCCACTCTGGACAACTCGCCCTCAGCCTTCGCCAGAAGCCTGGTACGGCGCGTGCGCTACACACGGCCACGCTTGATGGCCCCGGATATGGAGCGCAACCACCCTGTAGTGAAAGAAGTAGGCTTCGCCGATACGACCGCCAATTGCAACTTTTGCTTCTTCGTGGCAGCTCGAGACAGCAAGAACTTTGTCGCAGCAGGAATCAGCGCTTTACGCTTCCGGATCCTTTGTAACTGGTCAGCGGCTCTCAACTGGAGAGTCCAAAGCACACAACGCCAGTGGGCCTTGCTAGCCAGCTCCACGCCCTTACAAGTCGTTGCGATAAATGAATCCACATCGTGCAGATCCTCGAAGAAATTTCCCAGCACATCGGGTCCAGGAAGTTGGGCATTCGGCGATACAGACGCTCTCAACACTTCAGGTAGATCACGCCACAGGTCTTCACAACTGTAAGACCCTAAATCTCGCACATCCTCTTCTGATGACTCGTCCTCGGTGTCAGAAGCCATGAGCGACCGTGAAAGAAAATCGACACAAAACTACACGGTCTGTCCAAGTACTGTACTGTGCCACTTCGGGCACCCGGCTTGAGCACACACACAGCTGCAAAAGTGCCGCAATTCACAACAACGTGTTGCGCGGGCGCAACACGCAGTCTCCCTACTCAAATAATGACTATAACAACAACGCACGCTA